CTGCTTATTGGTTTGCTCTCCTGGCCCATGCTCAGCCTGCTTTCTTATACAATACAGAACAACCTGCCCAGAGGTGGCACCACCCACAGTGGGCTGGGCCCTCCCGCATCACTTAGAAATCAAGAAAATACCCCATAGGCATGGTCCAATGGAGCCTCAAACCAGATGTGTCAAGCTGACAACTAAAGCTATCCAGCATACTTAGTATATGCAAGGCAGTGGGTTGAATCCCTAGTACCACCAAAACAAAAGAAAAAAAAAAAAAGAGAATGGTTTTTGAAGCAGATGTGACTGGCCTGTGATCCCAGCACTCAGGGGCTGAGTCCAGAGGACTGCTAGGCATTTCTGGGAAACTTGAGTAAAAGAACAATGTCTAATATGGATGACCAAGGCCTTGGGTGTGATCCCCAATACTACATGATAATAACTAAACTGCAGTTCAGTTACAGACACTTAGTATTTAGGTAGAGGTTTTTGAGCCTTGTTCTGACATAAATTTATCATGTATAAGTAACAGATTAAAATGTGAACTTCCCCACCTCTCTGGGGCTTTATAGGCAGTTAATAGCAGCTAAAGAGAGGGCCTCAAAAGGTCCCATCCTTCCCTAAAGGATCTATAGGTAGTGAATTGTTGATGAGGGAAGACAGACATTTTCTTCAGTGGTGTAGCCACAGTAAGGCTCCTGTAAATAACCCCTCAACCATGCTCCTGTTAGCAAACCTAATGAAATTCACCGAGTTTAAAAAAAAAACTCATTGGGTTCACACACACACACACACACATCCCACAGTAGAAGGGGACTAGTTACTAGTTGAGGAGTCTGCAGTGATCCCCTGCAGGAGTCGGGAAGGGAGGAGAGGGGAGATGGAGTGAATACAGTAAAAAATACAGCACATACATATATGAAAATGTCATAATGAATCTCGGTATGTACAATATATGCCAATAAAAACAATTTAAAAATAAAAAGAACCTGAAGGCCCATGAATACCTGTTTCTTATCTGGCAAACAAAAGCCTTCTATATGGTCTGAGGGTCTAAATGAATGCATATCTGCAGCAAATGACTCTCATTTTTTTTTTTTTATGTTTTTGAGACAGGGTCTCCCTGTAGCCCCAGCTGTCCTAGAACTCACTATGTAGACCAGGCTGGCCTCAATCTCACAGAGATCCACCTGCCTCTGTGGTGTGTGCCACCACATCTGGAGGCTCTCTTAGTTTTAAAAACCTCCAGTGACAAAACTGTAAGCTGTGGGTGAGATAGAATGCTTGCTAACATGATGCAATCTAGCATTCCAAGCAAGATGAGGATACAGGGATTTTGTGTCTGTTGTTTCACTTGGGAAACATAAGATGAAAAGATGATAAAATGACTAGTTAGGAATGAAAGCATGCTTATATGGTTCAGCTATCCAGTCCTGGGTATATATGATAAGGAATCCAAGTCAGCATTCCACAGAGATACTTGTACATCCATTCAATGCTCACTATTCACAATAGGTAGGAAATGCTAACAACCTAGATGTCCATCAACAGATGAATAGAGAAAATAGAGAACATGGATATATACTGTCCAAGTTTGTTTCTCAATTGCTGTGACAAAATACTCTGACCAGTACCAACTTGGGGAGAAAGGGTTTATTTTATCTTACATCTCCCAGGTCACAGTACATCAGGGAGCCCAAGGTAGGAACTCTGGAGGCAGGAGCTGGAGCACAGGCCATGGAGGAA